TTTTTTTTTTTGTTTGTTTCTTTAATCCTTAGAGAGTGAAGCCTTTGGTTCTTTGGAAATGCATCTCTTTAACAAAATGCCAGTGCAAAAATTATTTAACTGGGAACACCTCTCCTCTTGTGTGCCTTCCTTTGCAGCTGCCTTTGGTCTCTACTTCCCCAGGAAAGAGTATTCAGAGAATGTCTACATTGATCAGCCAGCAGGTACACCGCTCCTGCACATCCATGCCTTGAGGGATTCACATGGGGAAGTGGCCCACTTTCATCTATGCCAGAATCTCATAATTTCTCGAGCAAGATCCCATGAAAATCATTGGTTTCAAATCAGAGAAAAAACAGGACTTCTCTACCTCAGCAAAAGCCTGGATAGAGAAGATTTTAACATGCTGTGTAAGTATGAGAAGACTAGCTTTTCTTGTTGAAGTATCTGTTGTTAAAGCAATGTACATTCAGATTTACCCATCATCATATGAGCATCACATTTTAAAAAACCACATCTGTCCTTCTAAACTGAGGAACCAGACCCAAAGAAACCCACAGCAAATGCAGAGAACCATATGCTAAAGCAAATGCTGACATGGGAGAGATCTAGTTGCTCCAACTGCAGACTCCAATACGGTGGTAAAGTTACACTATTTGAAATATTATTTTCTGCATTTCGCAGCTGTATAAGTTACAGCTTTACATTGAGATTTGCAGTTTGTTCATCTTCCAGTGCAAATTAAGCATCCACTGTGTTAATGCTGGGCACTTAGTGCCCATATCAATGCAGTTAGATTAGTTCAAACTCTTAAATAAAAGGTCCTTGAACTGTCGTTATTTGAATTCACAAAGTACATTTGCATATGACACCAACAGCTCTTGGAAGAAATGGTTAAGTGTACCCCTCTTCCTCCTGCAGCATATTTGCCAGATGGCAAGTTTATTGAATCTGGTTTTAACTTACTAGGGCTTAAAGGAATGAATGTAACTCAGAGAAGTGGGTGCTACATTTCTACTTCAAAGGTCTCCTTCCAAATCAGTTTTCAAAGATTTATATGCAGAGTGTGGTTGTGACCTGTGCACTCTGTTGCATACCCCTCATCTCCTTCAGTGTTTGAAATGGAGTTAGAGAGGGTCACAAACCACTTTATAATCCAAGTAATTTCAAGATAAGCAGCATTGGGTAAATCTTGTTACATGGCTAAATCAACAATATTTTTTTTTAATTTTACCATCTCAATTTCTACATTGTTGTACAGTGTCTTCACTTGAAATACTTGTTTGATAAGTAAAACATGAAAATATGTAATCTCCACTGGTGTCAAAACTATTAAGTGTTGTCCTTAATATAGAAGTATGTTCTGTAATAAAACCTAAACCTTTTGATGGCCAGGATTTAGTTTCATCAGCTTTTAGGTTTGAATTGGAGAGAAGAAAAACATGCTTCAAACTTGAATTTCTTACCATGGCTTTTCCTAATTTCTTAGTGGCTTTTATATTTGTGAAAAACATTTCTGGTTAATTAGTGGTGCAAATTCTAACTTGTTTTATGAAGGAATCTTCCTCTCTTTTCAAAATACAAAGCATTGTTTTGCCTTCTTGTTATCTACAGAAATCAAATTTTTATATTACAGGATTTTTTCCCTTTTTTTCTGAGAATGGAGAAAACTGCTGCTGTGAACTGAAGAATTTCGGAGAGTCTGCAGCATAAATACTAACAATTTCTTTCAGATGCAGAGCAGTCAGGATGACGACTTCTGGTGAGGTGTAGTTGCATGCAAAGTTTTAGACGTTTAAGGAGCAATGTCTGTCATAATTTCTACACGCTCGTTGCATTTATATGCCCTGTCTGCTGTGGTGCCGGTTCTTGCACCACATGATGTGTTTGTGATGCTGAGCACACAGCATCACTCACATTAGCACTGTTCACCCCAGTCTTAAAGAAAGTAAATATTCCGATGTCCTGTAGCTAATGTTGTACAAGTCTCATTTATATGCATCAGTGGGTTAAAAGTCATTCTGAGCAGTGAGTTTTCAGTGATTCTGAGCAGTGAATTTTCAGTGCTGAATTTCTTGTGAGGAAGTTTTCATAATTCTAGAATTGAGATTTTATAGAAAATGCCTCAGAAATCTATTTGCTTGCACTGGGACTGGGCTTGCTACTGGGATATCACCTTATGCCTCTTGTTAACAAACCAGTTTGTTAGGACTTCAAGCTGTGCATATTCACCTGGATTTCCTGCACTTCACAAAAGACAGAGGGACTGGGAAAATATTTGAAAATTATTATGAATGTTCAGTAATCTCACTTACAAAAAATATGATGATAGTACCAGAGTCAGAAGTAATAGTTTTCTTCCAGACAGAGGAAGTCAGGAGTTAATGCTTTTCTAAAACTCTCAAAAAGATTATTGTTGTCTTCACTTTGAATTCATTACTTTGGAGTGAATTCACCTACCACTTACTACTTTATTCCTATATTGTGAAGTATAGGTAGAAAAAATAATGGGTCTCTGTAAATCTCATGGATGTAATTGCATCCATGGATACTGATGATGTAATGAGTTATTGCAAGGTACAAGTGGTTTCTGTGGTATTTCCAAATGAAATTAGAGGTCTCTTGTTTAGAGTTTGTTTGAGGTCCTCTCCATTCAGTAGAACAGTGTATGGATCCAATAGTAATAAAAAACAAATAGGTGCTATAGCCTAATTCTATTTTGAAGATGGTTTGGCATTATATCTCTAATTTTACTTCTGTATTACCATTGTTTCCAGCTGTATCTGGCTTGATTTAAGTTATGATAGTCTTGTATTAGAAACATATGGAAATTATTATTTTCATTTGTTCAGCAGATATGTGAGCCTGCTATATGCCTTACTCTTTATCAAATCAGATTAAATGATGCAAAATTCTGCAATATGCAAATGTGTTTTTTTGTATGGGGGCAAGTACTGATGATCAGTGCAGGTGAAGTACAAGAGTGACAGTTCCAGTGTTTCAGTGTACATAAGAGCAGTGAGCATCCCCTTGTACCCTCCTTGTTTATTGAGCGTTCCACTGTGATCACATTTGTAAGCAGCAGAATTGTAAGGGGAGCATTTGAAAGGAATAGAATGGCCATTGCAATGTGACCTGGCAGGATGAGATCAGTTGAAGAAACAGGCATCAAGGGGCAGTTGAGCTCTACTGAATGTAAATGTCTGTAATGTCAGAGGCAGGGGGAGAAATTGGAGAATAGTGGGTCAGTCACAGCCGTTATATTAAAAATAAATGTACATTTCCCTTCCCACTTTCAGGCAAGTCAGTTCTCAGCTTTCCCATCTGTCATAGTTAAAATACTTATAAGACTTTCATATCAATTTTATTTAAACAACTCCCATTTTCTAAACCAGAAGTATCATGCTAGACTGTTTAGAAAGGGATGGATCCAGAAAAGGATCAGAGTGGTTTTATGTGATCCAAGGAAAACCATGCTAGCCATTGATACATTTCTGTGTTTTCTCTCAACAGAGTGTGTTTAGGTTTATAAAGTGTGATTTAATGAAAGGGTTTTTTCCTTCCTTGAACGTAATCTGTGAGATAATGGAATTACAGCTGAGAGCTCCAAATTAAGTAAAATTTGGCAAGCAGAGCTTCATTAAGTGTTCTGCTTAAACTGGGTTGTGTTTACAGCAAAGCAGTTTTGCTTTCAAAAGCAGATGATTTTGTAACTTAAACATAAACTATAGGCCAAATTTTTGATGGCTATGTCCCTGACTTGCGTGCAGTAAAGCTATATTTATTTACACCAGATGAGGATCTGCTTTTTTTCCACTTTTTTTTTTTTGTTTGTTTCTTTAATCCTTAGAGAGTGAAGCCTTTGGTTCTTTGGAAATGCATCTCTTTAACAAAATGCCAGTGCAAAAATTATTTAACTGGGAACACCTCTCCTCTTGTGTGCCTTCCTTTGCAGCTGCCTTTGGTCTCTACTTCCCCAGGAAAGAGTATTCAGAGAATGTCTACATTGATCAGCCAGCAGGTACACCGCTCCTGCACATCCATGCCTTGAGGGATTCACATGGGGAAGTGGCCCACTTTCATCTATGCCAGAATCTCATAATTTCTCGAGCAAGATCCCATGAAAATCATTGGTTTCAAATCAGAGAAAAAACAGGACTTCTCTACCTCAGCAAAAGCCTGGATAGAGAAGATTTTAACATGCTGTGTAAGTATGAGAAGACTAGCTTTTCTTGTTGAAGTATCTGTTGTTAAAGCAATGTACATTCAGATTTACCCATCATCATATGAGCATCACATTTTAAAAAACCACATCTGTCCTTCTAAACTGAGGAACCAGACCCAAAGAAACCCACAGCAAATGCAGAGAACCATATGCTAAAGCAAATGCTGACATGGGAGAGATCTAGTTGCTCCAACTGCAGACTCCAATACGGTGGTAAAGTTACACTATTTGAAATATTATTTTCTGCATTTCGCAGCTGTATAAGTTACAGCTTTACATTGAGATTTGCAGTTTGTTCATCTTCCAGTGCAAATTAAGCATCCACTGTGTTAATGCTGGGCACTTAGTGCCCATATCAATGCAGTTAGATTAGTTCAAACTCTTAAATAAAAGGTCCTTGAACTGTCGTTATTTGAATTCACAAAGTACATTTGCATATGACACCAACAGCTCTTGGAAGAAATGGTTAAGTGTACCCCTCTTCCTCTCTTGAGATTTGACTTCGTTAGAGAAGCTTACTGTTGAACTACAGAAACGAATTACCTCATTTTTTCCCCTTTTATGGTCTAGCAGTAAATTGGTTTCAGTGATTTTGATCAATGAGGAAATTAGTTATCATTAGATGGTGGAGGAGGAAATGGGTGAGGAGTTAATGGCATACTACTGTGATCAGTTGCAGAAATTCTGCTGTTGGAGAGAGTCTGTAGTAACAGTCTTGAGTTTGTAAGAGCCATATATCTACGCTGCCCTTTGACTTAGGTGCCTTGATGTTGAAATGTTCAACTTCAGACACTGCTTTATTTCTTAAGTGCTGAGTGCTTGATATCTCACCACTTTTTCACTGCATTTTTAGTACTTAGTGTTCATGAATATCAGATAGTTATTTATAACTGAACAAAGGAAGAACAGTTATACAGAACTTGAGAGCCTTGTTTTGTTCATATGGATCAAAGTGACCTAGAGCATCTTTTCAAGTGAATTAGATCTGCTACAGAGATACTGTCATTCTGTCTGTAGTCAAACCAAGGTAATAAAAATAGTTAAGGCTTGAGGGGTGTATTAATAGATGACACAGGTTGGTTTTAACTTCTATGTTATCTTTTAACTCTCTCTTTATATTTTGAAATGATGAAGCAATTTGTCCTGTAAACATAAACAATTTGACCCATATCCTCAACTGGTATAAACTACCAGAATGCTGTTACTTAAATGATAGTAGTTATGGGTCTGTCCTGAATATCTGTTGCCATTTCATGCACTCTTTTTCCCTGATGCCACCCCACTCTGCTCTATTCCCTCCAAAAAACAGTTTTATCAAAAAGCTTATTACTAATACTGACCTGTTTTATGTCAGTGTCTTACAGAATGCTGATATCCTTCTGCGAGGTTCTACAATGTAAAGTTGGTGCTAACGCCTGTAGTTTTTTGGCTTAATGGAATGATTATGATTTTAAGGTCTTCCCACCAGCAGATGATGTATTGATGAATTGTTTTATTACATAATAGGACTTATATGGTTGTTTGTAGAATAATGGACGAGTACAAAATGAGTAAAAGAATTGTTGGCTTGCCTTCTGTAAAATGTTTCTTCTGGTGGTTGTTTTTGTTTGTTTTTTTTTTTTTTAACTGAAGCTGTAGGAAACTGGATGCCGTTATCAAAGGTGATGCTGTATGTCTTCCTTTCATCCCACTCTTTTCAAGAGAATGAATGTGACTCTGCTGTGCGCACCACGGTTTTCCTGTCCTTGATCAATGCTACCACACCAGCTTGCAGTTCCCTGACAGCAAGGCAGCTTTGTTTCGCGGAAATGGATCTCTCCTTTCACATCAAGGAGAATAAACCACCTGGCACATTTTATCAGCTCCAGTTACCCTCAGTTCATCATCTGTGTCAGAATCTCAGCATTTCCTACAAACTGCTGGCAGGTAAAACTGGAAGTGAGCCCCTCACATACTAGTAATAGATGCAAACAGATGCACTGTTAAGATTTCTGTAGTAGTAGATCCTCTAGGTTGATTCTATAAAGGAAATTCTGTTGCAAATGTGAACTGAGACTGAAGACTTTTGCCTTTGAGATATACAGAGGGATGAGAAGGAGTAGTATCCCCTTCCCTAAAGAAAAGATTGCTTTTAGAAGTTTGCACCTGCTAAGGGCAGACTGGGAATATCCTGAGCTTTAAATTGTGCTGCTTCTAGACCATAGGATCTTCCTATATATTCCATATTTTCCACCTGCTCTAATATAACCCCACAACTTCCTTCTGTTTCACTATTGAGTGTGCCTTTTATCATGCAGTCATGATGTTCAAATGTATTTAGTGGATTGCAAGAGAGTGATAAAGAAGAAAGCTATCAGAGCCTTATAATGTGAAGTGATTGTCCCTATTTATACTATGTTTTTCAGCTGAAGGTATGCCCTTTCGATACAATGAGAACACCACTGGTGTGAGTGTCACACAGCGCCTAGATCGAGAAGAGAGGGAGAGATATGAGCTGATTGCTAAATGTACCATGAGAGAGGGCTTCAGGGAAATGCAAGTTGAGGTGCCCTTCCTGGTGAATGTGTTAGATGAAGATGACTCTCCTCCCTTCCTTCCCAATGGCACTGATACAGCAGATGCTGTCGTGGAGTTCAACAGGAAAGAGGTAATGTTCTCCTTTATCTAGTCTCTGAAGTAGGAGTGCAGGAGTGGGAGACCTAATTGGTGGGAAACACCATGCTCTGGATAATGGATCTCAGCAAAGAGCACGTCACCATGACATACTCTGCAAACCTGTTATTGTAAAATGCTGAGCTTGTAGGATTCCTGTTCAAGTTATATCTTATTCAGACCCTAAAAAAGGAAGAATTTGGGTCAGACTTTTAACAGTGTAAAGAAATGTGAGCAGTTCCTGAGGCCACAATGGACCATTGCTGAGACTGTTGTCAGGATTCTATATCTCCCCATATTGAGCTCTGCTCTGTATTTGTTACAGGCTTGCTTCCCCCCCAGGTGACTAAAACTGAGTGTTGTTAGAGCAAGTGTATGTGTGTATCCTTCCCATATATGCAAATCTATATAAGACACCAGAACTACGTTCAGAACATTTATCAGGAGGCTCTACCAGTAACAGAAAGTTGTAATAAGCAGTTGCTTTCTGCAGACTAACAGTGCATCTGCAAAGGTGTTAAAAGTTTCAGTGTCAGGCTGTTAAGGGAGAGCTCCAGGATCTTGCTTTAACGGTGCCTTTCCACCTTCACTTACCACGCCAAGATGATTTTTCAAGAGGTATGAACTCCTGGGTGTCTTAGTGTGTGTCCCCTGGCCGTGTACACCCGTTGCTTCAGTGAAGTATACAGGTGGCCTCTGGCTCTTCCACCAGAGCAAGAGCCCTTTGTAAATCAGTGGTATAGACAAGGCACTTTTGGGGCCTAAATGATGCATTTTGCGGGAGAGGACTTCTGTTTCCTAACAGCAACATTTTTTTTTTGTAGTGAAATTCCACTTCAAAGTACATTTTGCTCTTATTTGTCTGAAAGAGAAAGAATTATTTTGGGAGTTTGCTGCCACCTTCTGACTAGAACAAGTATTGACAAGACTCCTATGAACACATCACATTTGCTTGGGCATAAAGTAATTCCTTTTTACTTTTGAAAATTTTAAGATTTGTGAGGTTCATTTAGCTCTGGATGACAGAAAGTGAACGTCTCATAAAACTGTTATAAAGTAAAATAATCTCTTTGAAATTACATGCCTGAAAAGTGCTCAGAACATAGTAAACTTCACTGGCATTTTGCAGTGGAAAAAAGGCATTATATTTGGAAACTTTTAATCTTTTCTAGTAACTGAATGAACTTGAAAAAAACAGAAATTCTAATAAAAATCTTAAAGACCTTGTGGCATCAGTGTCCAGGTGGAGAACAGCAATCTAGTAAACTAAGCAGAAGACAGACAACCCAGGCCACTTTGGAGATTTGGTAATGAGTTTGCCCTGTGTGAATGTATTTCATGTCTTTTGAGTGCACCTATTACTTACATGCCTTTTTTTGGTAGCATTGTAGAATAACTTTGTTTTTAAAAAATGAAAAAATCAAGAGCTGTGCATGTACACTCATTTTCTACTTCAAAAGTTTGGCATGTGTTTAGACATAGACTCTAATGATTATATGACAAATCCTTTCTCACTGCCATCTTCTTCTGAGCTTCTAACTCAGATCCAAATAGGTGTGAAATAGTGGTAACCTGAAGCTTAAAGTGAATTTGAATAAAAGTGAGCTTGAATTAAAATTGTAAGGTTTTATTTGACCAATATTTCAATCTCCCAAACCTGTATTGGAGGAAGAAAGCTTCAGGTCATTCAGCAATGTCATTTATTGTTTCCTTCTAGGGAACTGTTCTTGCAACGCTAACTGTATATGATGCAGACACCACACCTATTTATCCCCTTGAAAGCAGCAGAAAGAAATACACAGGAACCATTGTTACTGATGATCCCTGGATAAGTGAAACATTTCGGGTAGAGCACATCTTTGATGAAATCCACTTCAGCCCAAATGGCAGCCAAGTGAGGGGAACTCGACATGAGTACAGTAAGGTCTCTTTCTTCAAATAAAGGAGAAGTTGCTTGTTAATAATTGACCAATAAGCTCTCAAACTTTTCCAAGCGTATTGTAAATACTGAGCCAAAGAAAGCTGAGAAATTTCATGTTAAGCAAATGCTGAGTTTTAAACATTTACTGAAAAAATGGAGTTTGTGCATCTCTGGGATAAGGGAGCGTATGGATGATGATGTGTATACTGATAAGCAAGAGGTTCTGATTGTAGGGTTCTCTGCATGGTAGGTAGAGGGGAAGAGGACCTTTCCAAACACTTTGAATGGCACAGAGCACAACTCCATTAGGAGCATATTTTCATACTTAACTCACCTTCTGTTTTAAGTTTGGAATAACTTTGATATGTATAATTTTGATATGTATAATTCTGTTGAGATTGCAGTATCGAAATATACATTTGCAGACATTGTGGTTTGGTAATAGACTAATCTCTTCCTTTGCAGAACTGGTACTGAATAAAAGTATTTCAGTCACAGAACATAGTTCCTTCCAGTTGGATGTCTTAGTGAATGACACAGAATTTCATGGCCCAGAAAGATCAGTGATGCTTCATTTCAATGTCTCCATCCTTCCTGTCAGCATTCAGTTTCCAAACATGACTTACCAGTTCCCTGTCAACAGAAATGCTGAACGCTTTGCACAAGTAAGAACTATGTTAATTATACTTTCACTTATCTCTTTTAAGTAGAATCAATGAAAAATGTGGTATCAATATGATACTACATTTGCTGGATGCAGTGGGTATCAGGTAGACTTGACACTAAGCTCTCCCATCACATAAAAACAGAGGAGGGGCCACACATGGAAGTATTAAAAGAGAGAAATAACATGTATTATATACAGGAGGACTTGCAACCATGAGTGGCTTAGGCATAAATAACTGGAAAAATATCAAGGATAAAAAGCGAAATTTATCCCAGATATTGGAGTCCTAGCTCTACATATTCCAGTATGTTAATGGCTTTTCTCTAGATAATGGCTACTTAGTAATTAATGTGTTTCCTAATTTAACCCTCATTTTAGGTTAATCACCACTATTGCCATTGATAATGCCTTCCAGAAACAGTTTCTAACAGGTTGACATTAATCAGGTGAAAATTACAATGTAATTCCTATGGAACATGTACATTAATAAGGAACCAGTTCAATATAATTTATGAAAGTGAGTATTAAAAACATCAGTGATGAGCCATTTTGGGAGAGCTGTTGGAAAATACACCTCATAACTAAATAAAGCTATATAACTGCCACTGTATTTGTAGCAGAGAGGAGGACTGAGAGTAAAATATGATCATCCAAATTGCAGAGAAAACCAATTCATTGGAAGAATTATAAGGAAGAATTCAGATTGCATGTTCTTATCTCCAATCTGATGAAATGTACTATGGCTTGATAGTTCTTCAAAGTATGGAACAAGTCTTGGAAGTATATTCTAGTTACAGAATGCAAAATTTAAAAAAAGCAACCCACCAGTTAACTTTTAAAGCTTCTGGTTTTACATGTTGTTAGGACAGCCAAATATCTGAAAGGGAATTTTAGGGTGTCTGGTAACAGTGGCGCTTCCCAAAAACTGTGCCATTTCCCTGAGTGGCAGTAGTAGCAGGGAAGACTGTTACCGTCAAGAACAACTCCAAGTCGGTGGAGGAGATGTTTTTTTGTGCTGCCTAAACACATATCCACAAAGAGATTTTGTTATGATTCGCAACCAGCAAAGTGCAAAACTCATCCTGGCTTTGGAAACGATGTTCTCAATCAGTTGAAGTGACATCCACTTACTTCCAAGACTGGGTTTGAATTTACAGTGTGCTCAGCTTGGAGCACAAGTCAATGTAAGCAGCTTAGTCCCTAGCACTTCACATTATTAAAGTCATCTGCATAATTAGCTGTGATGTGCCAGAGCAACCAAGGAAAAGTACTGGGCCAAATCAATATGAAGGCTGAACTGTCTCTTGCCCTAAGGAAAACACAAGAGTGTGAAGAAATGATAAACAGCCGGGCTGATGCCATTTGTCTATTTGAACAGCTAAATGAATTGAATAACAGAAGCACGGCCTGATGGTACAGGCTTTCCCAGTGACATTTAACTTATCAAAGGACTTAAAGCCCTATTGATATTTACTGAGGCAAATGAATAACGTTGGCTGAGATTTGTAGAGAGGTTATATGTCCAAATGTCCCTCGAATTCAGTGAAGAGGAACATTATCATTATCCAGACTTTATTAAACTCTGGAGCTCAAAAGATGGATTTTTCTGTTCCTATTTCTGATAATGGTATTTCTGTGTTAACTATTGAGAGTCTTGCAAAATGCACCTTTGTAGGTCCCTCCTCTGTATGTTGGTGTTAATCCTTACCAGGCTATTTTTCACCTCCTCATGAGAAAGAGGAACTGGCTGCTTCTGCCTCCTTCCCCTGGGGCTGTGCTATGCTGCATCTGGGAGCTGTGCTGACTCCAGAACCTACAGAGCAGAGCAAAGTGGCAAGCTTGAGCTTTCCCTAGTGGAATCAGGCAAAAAGAGGAAGACTGTCTTTCTAGTAGAAATTTTTTGAGGGGGGGCATTTTTAGCTTCTCCTCAAATTATATGGAGAAAGCCAAACTGGCCCATGCTCTATTCTAAGGATAATCTGCTCTTCAGGGACCCTGAATTTATGGGGTCTACTCCATCCCCTTTGAAGGAAATTTCAGTTGATCAAAAAAGTGCCTGGAAGAAGCAGTTATGAGATAGCAGGCAGAAAGGACAGCTTAGTCTATATAAAGGTTAATGCCATGGAACATCATTATGTTCTGCCACTGCCCCAAAGAAACAGCATCTAAGCAGCTGCAAAACACTGACAGTTACAATGCAGCACCAAAGATAAGATGACGTGGTTCTGGAAAGGACCTGTCTAGACCTTGTGTCTAGATAGAATTTATTAACAGATGAAGTCTTGTCTTTACTTATTTTCCTTCTTACCAGTCCCAGCATGCTGTGGAGAGGAGATGGAGTGGAAGAAATGGCCTAGCTTCTGGTTGCTTTAATAGTCTTTGTATTTTATACTGCCACCATAAAAACCCAAGAAAAGAGGTGCTAAATGACCAGTTAGTGACGTAAATGGGAATAAGTTAGATGAAGTGGGACTATCCTATGACAAAGTCTGCTTCTAGGACTGCAAAAGCTCTTCTCTTACTTTAAACAGTCCAAGTTCATAGGAAGAGGTTTTAGTACAAAACCTTTTTTTGTTTTTACATTCTTTAATAAGAATGATTAAATATGGATATGCTTTTACCAGCAGTGGTGTTGCTTGAAAACACATCTTAACTGCATCATTTTTAAAGAATCCATCACCAAGTTCCCTTCAACAACACCCCATCCTTCACATTGTGGTTTTCCCTGCAAGGAAAGCCAAAGCCTCTGGGCCTGATCCGAATCTCACTCATAAATGGAAAAACCAAAGTGAGCATTGGATCAGTTCCTATAGGAGCTGGACAGGAGACAGGGCTTTACATTCCTGTGCTTTTTAGATAAATTATTTCGGACTGAAGAGTGCTCTAGCATAGATGTTCTGGCAGGCAGAAGTTAAAATATGGCAAACCAACATATTTTCATTTTTAGATGATAATGTTTTTGAAATTGCATATGGGAAACAATGAGGTTCTTATTCCTTTTAAGGCTTTCAGAGAACTCTGCTGGCCAGAAGCTTTTTGACTATAATATTATGAAAATTATGTATTATCAATTTCTATCTTATTTGAAAAGAGGCTGAGTTTTGTTCATGCTGAGCTCTTCACTTTTTCAAGCAAGACCAAAGTCTTTCTCACTGATCATCTGGGACAGAGCAGGTACTGAACACAGAGTTTCACAAATCACAGGGTCTTCACTGAACACTACTAACCATCAGTAAATATTGCTGAATCTCTAGGTCAAGGCTGCCCTGAAGATGCTTTACCTCTCATTTTTACTAAGAATAAATCATATCTGAAGCATTCATGTACTGCATTGGTAGTAAAATATCAAATCTGTAAACACAACATAAATGCTGAACTCTGCAAGTTATAATATGCTCAATTTTCTTTAAGATATTTTTGGGAAGCACAGAATATTTTTGATGTATAGTTTTGTTTCTGTTGTCTGTGATTTCTTTGTTGGTGTTTGAGCCTAGATAGGAAAAATCTGCATTGAAAACTGTATGAAATTCCGTGGTGTGAACATCACCTACAAGTTACTATCTCCCAATGGAAGCTGCTATCCTGTCAGCATACTTCAAGCTCGAGAAGACAAATATGGAAGCCTTTATGTGAATGATTCCTCTGTGCTGCACAGACCCGAATGCAAGGAAATACAATACACTATTCAAGCTACAGACAAGCAGAGCAGGAAACATACTAAAACCTTTCTCACTATTGTATTGGAAGGAACTTGTAAGTGCCTGAGTCAAATAGAACTATTTACTTATTTACAAGTGTTACTGGTATTAGATGATGCCTTAGTTGGGTGATTTATAAACTGATGGCATTAGGAATGAAAATGAGTTTGAGCTACAAGATACAGATCGCAAAGTTTGCATTTTGAGTTCTAAATCAGACCTGCCTGTAGCAGGTATTTGTTTGAAGAACTAATGCACAGAAAGGTGGTGTATCCTATGCAATTTCTAATGTTCATGATGACATTTTATTTAGAAGAATCTGGTTTGTGTGTCTGTGTGACCTTTATTTTGTTTTTCACATATTCCTACAGAAGGAAAAAAAAAAAAAGTGTGAGGAAATCACACACTCTGGCTTCAGTGTATTTATTCAATCATCTTTCTCTCCCCTTCTCTCCCCAACTTTTCCCTTTTTTTAAAAAAAAAATAAATTGCTTAACATTCAAGTAGCAATTTCACTGACTTCATTTCACTGAAAAGTTGATAAAAATGTTCTTCTATAACAGCCACAGCAGAGGACGATGACACTGGAAACGTAATCATTTCTCTCCAAACCATGTCATGCTTTATGCAAACCCTTACAATTCTTCCTGATAATTGCCTCTGTTCCCTTCTGTCATATCAGAACTCCCATGCCAAGAGTGAATGTGTTGAGGAAGAATTAAAAAAAGCCTGCAGTGAACTTTTTTGTAAGAACCTTGGGCAGTCTGAAATCACACATTTCTAGCTGGTGCTCTTTGGGATACTACTGCATTAGCCCAAGTACTAAGTGTTTTGTCTTAATTGAAAGTTTTGTATGAAGCTATAAGTATTTATGATCTCCATTTTTCTGTTATCAGTATGTTAGCACATTTCTACAGTTATAGGCATTGACAGTGTGCTATCAAGCAAAGATAACCATGCCATCATGATCTTGCTGTTTACCTTTTATTTCACAGAAGGTAAACACCTGGAATATAATTGTGATCTAAGTTTACAACCCAAGTGTTGTCTTTCCCTTCTTTCTCCATCTTTCTTTCTTTTCTATCTACCCCTAAGAATGGAGGGTTTTTTTCTGATTTGAGCTTTCTTGTGTATTCATCTCCCTTGTCCTGATCTGACAGCAAATACTTTTCTCAACAGTTTTAAAAAAAGAAGAGGACTGCCCTGACTCTTGTGCTGTGAGTAAGCACCGTGCTGAATGTGAAGAGTGTGGTGGCCTGGGAGTCTTAACAGGAAGATGCCAGTGGAGACAGGGGAGTGGAAAAGGTACATTTCTGTTGTGAGAAATCAAGCTTCTGTTTAGTTGTAATTGTGCATTTGTTTTCCATAGATATAAACTGATTTATTCTGGTTGGACAACATGGTATAGTAAACTACACAAAAAACAGGGCTAAAAAAATTAATCATAATACTCAAATGAAACGCACTAGGAAGGACAATGAGGTTAACCTGGAATGGTCATTCCTGATCTTGTCCCTGGTGATGTTGAACATGATACGTAAAACAACAGTTAGTAGTTAACTGGGTTTGCAGCAGTGTAACTGGAACAGGTGACTTACGGCTTGCAAGATAATCTCTGTGACCATGAATTGAGTTTGGAACATACCAATGAGCCTCTGAGCAGGTAAGTCCCAGCAGACAGTAAGCACAGCAGCAATGTCTCTGTTGTCTCTGTTTTCTGTGGTCTGTAGCACAGGTCTGATGGCTGATGGTACTTTTAACCCTACCAGAACAATGCTGCTGTGACAATGCTTTACAGCTTCAGACTGCATGAGTATCACAAATTCTCTTTGACTACTTGTAATTTTCATATTCAAGTATGTGTGAAATTGTTGGAGACATCCTTACTTGTGAAAGCCACTCTTCAGTCTCAAAATGGTCAACTAGCCCTTTTTCAAGTAACTGTAACTGCAAATGATGTGCACAAAGGGCTGTCATAAGCAGAAAACATGGTGAAAAATGTATTTCTCCAGTTGCTTTTAGCTGTTTGTTGTCTTGTCTGTTACTTTAACAGATTATATTTATATTCATAGATGTTTATTTTAAGAACTGAAGTAACCTGTGCTTTGGTGTGTCAGTGTGCACTGAGATGATGCAATAAGCTTTCCTTCAAAGTCTCACAGTATTGCTGCTGCTGTCTGTTTCTTTGTTTGCAGGGATCACCACAAACTATTCCACATGCACCCCAAGTATCAAGACTTGTCCGGATGGCATCTGTGATGTGATTGAGAGCAAAGATCCAGCTGTGTGCCCCCAAGACTGCACAAGTATGGAAAGTTCCACTTTCTTGATCCCAGATACCTTTGCAAGCTGAACATATTTAGCATCTCTGCATTGTCATACCCACATTGGTATCATACAAGAGTTCTTTCTTAAGCCTTTAGACAAGCTTAAGATAGAAAGATAAGGTTTTCTCAGTAATTCTTATTCTCTTAAATCACAGATAGTGTTTTTCGCTATTTGCTGAAATGGGTACAGTTTTTAGGCAAGTTAATGCCATACTTCTAAACTTCAGCACAATATGATAGAAACCATGCCTATTTGAACTCCAATTTAAATAAGTAAGAAAAAACAAATTTAAAATAACAAATTTAAAATAAACATGTTTATAGAGGATTATCTGGGGAAATGTACCTGGCCTTATTTGACAGGGGATCATCAAAATGATCCAATGTCTTACCTATTTGAAGATACAGACAGCGATTCATATGAACATCATTTATGAAGGAAGAATTGAAGTGTATTTGGTTTCTCTTAAACACATCTTTCTACATTCCTGTAATGGTTTAAGCCCAGCCAGGACCGGAGAGCACGTTGCTGTTGCCCCTCCCCCACCCACAGCTGGTCAGGCTGGAAGTTAGGCACAGACCCGGGGTAAAATAAGAAGAAATTTAATACAACAGTGTGATAAAACAATCTGAACGACAACAGTAGCAATGATAACAGCAATAACAGTGAAAAAGACAAACAATATACAGAGAAATACCGCTAGCTGGTCATGGAAACAGGTTCCCGCCACCAAGCCCACCAAAGAGCAAGGTAAAAAGGTTCCGCCCCTGGACCTGACGCCAGCATGGTATGAATAACCTAGCTGGAGATCCCTTCCCCCTCTCTCTCTGCTGGGGAAACCTAACCCTATCCTAGCTGAACCAGGACAATTCCACTCATATACCTGCAAGTTCACAAATCACCCTGAAGATATAAGAAAAATAGTGTATTGCACTTGAGCGATTTCAGTCTTTTATGAGATGATAATTTTCAAGTGGAACTTTTTATCTATCAATATCTCATTCAGGAATAAAGACATAGTTGTTTCTTGAATAATATTCTTCTGGCTTGGACGTTTTTTTGTATACTCGAAGTTTATATTTTAAAATGGAGTCTTAGAGGAACTAGTATTTTTTTTACATGAATGAGGCATCTTTGTGTTTTATACATATAAGAATGGGATTGTGTATTGTAAATGACTTCTATTGTAAAGATAATTATTTCACTATAGTTCATAAAAACAATCCTTAAAGGGGCAGAAATGCTTGAAGTGAATGCAAGTAACTTCTCTAATCACCTGAAAAGAATTCTTTATTGGAAGTAACTGCAATCAATTGTTATTCTAAAAGTGGAAATATTTGTGCCAGAGGCTGCAATGCTAAAACTTGTAATGTGCAACATATGCAGCATCAGATATTTTGCTCAACAGAAGCCTGAAAGAAATACTGTCTTATTAGGTAATAGAAGCAGGCAAGTAAGACAAGCTTTCAAGATGTTACGTATGCTTTTTTAATGCCTGAGTTGGATAATTTTATACGTGATTTGATGCAATTCAGAACCTGGGCTGGTGCTCAAAAGCAGTATATTTACAGACAAAGAAATGAGTGTGTATTGAGAGCTCAGAAGTGCAGGAGTATCGTTATATCAGCTTCTCCTGGCATGGGACATTTCTTTGGGAATGGCAAGCAATAAATAGAAAGCTCCAGATGTGTTAAGATCAAGAATATTTAAGTGCAGTCAGTTACTAAAATATTTATTTTTCTGTTTCTTTATGATGGCTATGTACTTGAGTCCCAAAACTGCTTTCTCACACTAACACTAGGAATATTACATTCAGGGGCACTCAGCTGAAACAACTGCTGCTGTGGCTGTCAAATAGAGGCAACATAATTGCATTCTAAGCAAGAGACTTTCTTGTAGTAACTACTTCAATGCTGGTTGCAGTGTGTGAATATGTCTAAACATAAATGTTCAGTAGATCAGTAAATGACTGATCTTTGTAAGTTCCTCTGAACTTGTCTTTGTGATAATGAAAAAAAAAAAAAATATTGCTTAGGCTTCCCCCCTGATTTGGATGTCTTTGTTTTCAGTGGTAGTCTTTGGTTTTGTCCAACCAGTGTTTTTACTTTCTGAATTTCTGGAGTTTTCTACATGCTGTGGGGATAGGGCCATGGTTTTTCCTTTTTCCAAATGACCTTGAAGTAGGGAAAGCTCTCTCCCATCACAGGGCAATGGAAACACCTGATGATTTAAAACAGAAGCCTGTGAAACACCACAATTCAAACCAATATTGATAACTCTTGGAATTTCTCTACCAGCAATCCATTGTTAAAAAATACATTTTTGAGTCTCTGGAATGCATATAGGAAGCTCCATGTTTCCAATGTACACCTGCAGTGACAATATACTCCTTCTTTCCTTAGTGTGTAAAAACTCTTTGTCTTCAACCCTTGCTTGAGAACAGTTTAGATAGGACCTGTTCATCCCCTGCTTCCCCCTTCTTCCAGGTCCTCAAACATAGGCAGATATAGGTAAATACATATGATTTTTTTGAGACTAATGAAAACTTTACTTCATCACCTCTTCACAATTCAAGAACTTGGCTGGTGGGAGGATAATCAAGAATTTCTGGGAACACTGATGCTTCTTCAAACAAGAAGTATCAGCTCAGAGAGCAGTAACTCAGCACAGCCTCTTCCAAAATGAACCGAGCTGCATACAATTTAGTAAGTGTGGCTTCTCTAGAAAGATGGACAAATTCTATTTTGCTTACTCAGGTCCCCATTTCACTCCTTATAAAAAAGGATGTTTTCATTTATGTTGCCAAAAAATATTCTTTTCCTCAATTCATGTTACACATCCAAAGTAATGGAAAACAAACGTTCACTCTACTGTCAACTTAGATGGGATGGAGGAAAATGAGTTGAAATAAAAAGAAGACTGCACTGAAAAAAACTTGTTCATCTTTTGAATCCCTTTATGGTTTAGGCAATTTTTCTGAAAGGCAGCTAAACTTGCAAAACTTGATTGGTTTCTGTCTATACAATGCTGTTTGTGATTAAAAGAAGTTTATAAATGAAAAATGTCACAACTCATGGTCATTTTCATAATATATGCAGAAAGAAGTTATTTACTTGGAAGTATAGTTGCAATTACTCTACGTGAAGAACTATTGCTTGAAATCAAGAGTAGCTCTCTATCAGTTTCTGCACTTTTTTCCTAATGATAAACAGTGCATTTTTAGGTAACGAAAGATTCATTTTTTTATGTTACATTTGGCACTTACTCAGTGCTTTCACCAGACTATCCTGTGGCCTTTTACAGATGTGATTAAGTACTGTTATCTACATTTAACAATGGTACAAATAATATCTAGAACAGTATGCTGACTTTTCCAAGGTTAGAGGAAATGGGCATCAGAAACAGGAATGGAAATCAAGTCTGTAGACTGCTGGTCTGTACCACTGGACTGTACATCAACTCATGAGTAAAAAAATACCTAAGACAATGATGGAGAGAAACTAAAATAAGTAGATTAGAGAAGATATTTTAGGAAGAATTTTAAAATGTGAGGTGACCTCACTGATATGAAACTGTAATGCTTTATGAGGAAACTGAGTCAGGGCAGCCATGAGATGATCGTTTGAGATAGATGTTTGGCAAATATAAGGTTTTAAGGGGTACACGAAATTAGGAAAGTGTCCCAACTATGCAATTCAAAGAGATCTATTAAATTTTTATAATGGCTAATCAGGGCTAATGTTCAAGCAGTCCAAGGCTCCCTCATTTCAGGATCTCAAACATTTCAGAATTTAGAATTCCCCTAACTCTCAGAAATCACTTTCATTATCTCTGAACTGTGCTGCTCTGTCAAATTTGAGATGCATACTAGGATAAACTCATGGAAAACTTTGAAAAAACTTTTTTTAAACTACATATGAAAGTCTGAGCTTGTGTCTTTATTTGATTAGGTGGAAACATTATTGGTGGTCATGGGAAAGGCATTGGAAATCTTGGAATTAAGTCAGGACATGGTATTTGTTACTGCTTCCCAAGACAGAACTGTTATTGTGAGAAAGATGATATCAAGGGTGAGTCTAAACATTATCTTCTGTTCTCATATTAATCTTTTTCTCTGTATCTACCATTTGTGTATGTATATATCTATACAATGATCTAAACTTGTGGGCATGTTAATAAGCTCTTTGGACAGAGACTGCTAATATAAAATTAATTAAGAACTGGCACCTCAAAATTCCCAGAGGGGGTTGTTTCTAGCCATGGCTAAAGGTTCTTTTTTATCCTTTACTATGTGACAAACAGGTTGGTTGTCCTTTGATTTCCAGCAGCATTTGCATTTCTGTGAGACTCACCTGGTATTTGCAAAAACATCTAGGAGAATTAGAATAATGACTTCTATTACTTTCAAGTAATTCCAGCTTTCTAATAATTCCTGAAAATCTTGGCTTCGAAACATCAGAGATAGCCAGCACTCATTGTGTTAGGAGGAGATTACTTTTTTTAATTGACCTTTGCTTCAACAGAAAAGCTCTACAGTTTGAAACTGATGGGGATTAAATAATGCTCTTTTAAATAATTTTTATTATTTAAAGAAACTTAGTTTCCAAAGTAAGACACTAAAAGGGTTTCTGCAAAAGGAGAAGTAGTAAATGTGGATTAAAAAAAAATCCATATTACTTTAGAAGTAGTGGCAACATTAGGCAATGTTTTCAGAAATAATTATTTTGTTAAATACAAAGCAGAAATATTTTAAGTGTCCCTATAATCTAAAAAGATGAAGAGAAACATTGTTTGATATCTAACAGTTGACATAAGGAATTACATTCACATTTGGAGAAGATTTTATTTGATGGGTTGAACGGCTCTAACATAAACAGTTGTCCACAAGCAAAATCCAGTCATGGGTCTTCTGAGAGGTAAGTGGTATGAGAAGATCAATATATGGTAAACTGGGTCTTAAAAAAAGAGCCAGGAGTAGCCTGTATCTGTAAAGATAAGGAACATGGGGTCAAGTGAGCCATCTTTACATTTATACATGCAGTTAGACAAACAATTACCTGCTGATGTCCAAAAAAAAAAAAAAAAAAAAAATTGGTAGGTGCAGTGGGCATATTTGCAAGTTCTCAAATTCCATTGAGAATTAGCTCAGGTTTCCTCTGGCTTTTAAATTATTTTGAGTTCTGGTTTTGTCACACCTGTGTATGTTATATGCACTGCCAAATCAGAAGTAGGAGACAACAAGCAAAGTTCTAAGAAGCTCTTCTTGGTCCACAGAGCAACTGTGTGATGATGTGTGCAAGACTGTGATAGCAGGGGCAGTGCTGCTGTCCTTCATCATCTCCGTGCTGCTTTCTTCCTATTTCATCCATCGTTATCACAAGAATTCTTCAAAGCCACCTATTGCCTCCGCAGAAATGACATTCCGGCGCCCAGCCCAGTCCTACCCCATCAGTTATTCTTCCACTAACGTCCGCCGGCCTTCTTTAGATTCCATGGAGAACCAGGTGTCTGCAGACACCTTTAAAATACCAGTAAGCCTGATGTCATTTTGCGTGCTCTTTTTTGATGTCTGTCTTGTTTCTAAAGAATGTTGTTTATGCATACAGAAAATGTTACAGAAATGCAATCTATTCATAAAACTCAGATAACTAAATCAGAAATCATATGTACAGGCAAGAACTGAAGACACTTAATGGGGAATTGAATAAAGTATATAATTTATAAGGTTAGTATATTCTTCCACTTTTGTTACATTTTAATGTACTGTAACATCTTAGGTATAATTTGAGCTGATTTCTTTTCTAAATGTAGCTCTGGATCTGACAGTTGTGTGGTTTTACTTTAACATTGTCCAGTTAAATACTAATAATCAGCAGGTTTGTAGTCTCTATTATGAGCCATAGTACTGAAACAAGGGTAAGTTTAAGACAAAACTGCTGAAATCTGTTCCTGATTTCCAATATACAGACTGTAGTTGTCAGGTGGATTGGGACTTTTACCCACATTTTAAGGATTTTTGCCTACTCATACTACCATACCTTTAACCTAGTTTCTTCTGTGTTGAATCATATACTACCCAGGATTCCTGCCAGCTGGTACATTTTCATGGACCAACATGGTAGGGAAACACTGTGACTTTATATGACATGTGTCAACATCAAATCTATTTGACTGTTCTATATTGAGGTCTTCACAGATCTTGTGTTCTTTTTGTTTTAATTTCTTGTCTGGTTTGTACATCTGTCATTATTTGGCAATCTTAGGGCCCAATAACACTAATTTCATAAGAGGAGGATTGTTGTCTCTGATAAATTCTTAAGGAAAAGCCTTATTCCATGAGTAAAACTGATTTACTTCTCTGTGAAGTCCAAGGTCACATATTCAGAGTTATTCTGAAAGCAAGTATTTATCCTGTATCACTTCATTTTTCGTTTGTACCCAATTTTCCAGACCTGTAAATATGATCGATTATCCATAGACTACATGTACAGCCTGTTTTGGAGGTGTTTTCAAGGTAACAGAAAAAACACTTGCAAAATACCTAGAGATTCAGAAGCTTTTATAGGACTACACTGACCTTGATAGAAAGAGCAACTAAATGTTGTACACTAAAGTGTAGCTATTTCTGAAGAATAGTCTCCTATTGAATATTAATGCTTCTCGTGTAGCTAGCCACTCCTTTTCTTGTTTCAGCTCACAGTGTTCCTTTTCTCTCCTGCAGGAAGATCCAAAGTGGGAATTCCCTCGGAAGAACCTAGTTCTGGGCAAGACTCTGGGAGAAGGAGAATTTGGAAAGGTCGTCAAGGCAACAGCGTTCCGACTCAAGGGAAGGGCTGGTTATACCACTGTAGCAGTAAAAATGTTAAAAGGTACATTCCCATCTGGGTCTGAAATGACTTGAAAACTATTTGTTGTAAGCTCTGAATGGATTTTAAGAGAGACTAGCACTAAAGCAAAAGGTCAGCTAAAACCAACCAGTGTCACAGCTTCTGTTTCTTCCAGCATTGTTATCTTCTAATGGATATTTGACTTTAGGAGCTAGCATCACATTGATTCAGATAAGTAATTTCCATAACTAATTCTTGTTCACGATGTGCAAGGGGCCTCTGTCTTAAGATAGCAAACGTATTTAATTATTTTTGGCATTCATGGAAATATTGCAAGGGTTTGTTAAACCTGTCTGATTTTTTTCCTCTACTCAGTTTTCTTTGACAGAGCTTTTTAATTAAAGCATGTTATAATCATAGCAAGAGACAGAATAGATCTATTAAGTTACTTTTCCAATTGAGAATTCCATCTACTTTTACAGTTTCTGATCTGCTTTTCAATTACTAGGAGCTCTGCCAAACTGGCTTGAATAGCCCAGTGCTGTTTCTTGGTGGCTTTAATTTTCCTTGAGACTTTAAAGATGGGGAAAACAAAGTATGCCTAGATAATGTTAAGATGATAACATGAGACCTTGAGCTCAGCCATGGACTGCTACTTATAATTAAAAACATGTCATTATAAGAAAATGTTATTACCATCTCTATTACATGCAAGTTGTTTTTAAAAAACTGTTATCTTCTGCTGCTTGAGAGCAAAGATGCTGCATATTCCATCACTTTACCAAAGAAAGAAATGCATTATGAAATGCACGCCTGCACAGCAAGAGTTCAGTGGAGAATAGGTCATATGGAGGAGGTCTAGGAACTTTTTTCAGAAGTGAAGACTGGTTAACCATTACTTGTAATACTCAAAGAACAACTTGTATATCATTCTCAATAGAATAGTCAGCCATTATTTCATCTCATGTTTATTTGTGTACTTAATATCACTGCTTTTTCTAGCACATTTTCATCAACAGCATGTGACTGAGTTAAGATTCCAAGACATAGCAGTAAAAATATTGCTTTTACTTGCAGATAATTTAACATTCAGCTTTCCCAAGTTATTGTGAAGGAAAGAATTGACAGAATTGATAATGTGATGGAGTAAGCCTTTATTTTAAGCACCTTATTTTAACAAATTGATCTGACATTTACAATAATACTTCAGGCTCTAATGAATCCCTTTTTAATGTAAATTACATTGCATATAGTCACCTGAAATTCCATTTTCCAACTTGATTGTGGAGAACATTCTGCAAATATTTCCCTGTTGTTACCAGTTTAACTTTACTGTTAACACATGACAACTCATATATAAGAAATATTGTATTAGTCCGCAGTGGTCTTTATAATGCTGTCAGGAAGTATAAAGGACAGTTCTTTTGGATCAGGCCAATGTCACCTATTCTTTCCCTGTAACAGATGCAAAGGGGGTAATTTGTCCAAGTATTAGGGACTAAACTGCCTGATCTTTAAAAGGGAATGCTATGTATACCAATATAGTAGAGTTTATAGTATAGTGGATAAAGCCTCTTGCTTATTGCGTAAAAGATACCTCTTCCCTGAGTTGTGTAGCTGTGCACAATGTGTGGTTAAGAACAGACCAGGGTAGGACTCCCCCTACTTTGTCAACTGGAGTTATGTACTGGGGAGGCAACAAGGAGCAGTTAGTAATTAGCTGAGCCAAAATAGTTTTGGAGGTATGGATGGAACAGAGATACAATTTTTTCAGCTCATTATTACCACTTTTTTCATATTAATTACATCTGACCTCCTGCATGATAAAAATGTTCTCATTATAATAAAATTAAATGGGAAACCACCCAATATGTAAACAGACATTATTTGCCATTTGTAAAAACAAGGGGCATCAAGTTTCAGAGCTAATTGTCTCCATTTGTGCACTATCAAAGTTAGTTTTTCCAGCAGACATGTACGTGGGGAACCTCGTTCTGTTCTTGCACTTGCTACACTGTTCCAGAGCCTGAAAAATAGGAATTTCTCACAGGCCTTAAGTTGATGTTCATTTTTGTTTTACATATATACATATTTTTTGTAGTCTCTACCAGTAGTGAGATACCATCCAATATTGTATTCCCTAGTGTAGAAGTCTGAGTGGAAGTTCAGACTAAAATATATCGCACATACAAACATATAGTACTGATAAAACATATAGTAGAGAAGAATAAAAAATCATCATGCAGGGCAAAGTATTAGCACTTCTATTTTAAATGGACATGTGAATAAATCCTTTGGTGCTTATAGCCCATATGGAAGAACATACAGTATGGTACCAAAGAGCAGAAGCTGAGCTTGTTTGTTATTAGCCTTAAGTAAAGGTGACTACCTACTTGTCAACTGCCCAGTAATGACACTGTAGGAACTATCCAGGGAGGTTCTGTGTGTCAGAGAGATTAAGCATGAGGTAGAAAAAGGGTTATCTCTGACCTATGGTGTCTGTTTAACTAGCGATCTCCTTCAAGCCCCAGTGCGTTCAAAGAGGAAGTCAGTCAGAAGAGTTCTGCAACCCAAAATGCTTGAAAGACTAAGAAGGCTTCTAGGGGCTACTGTCATATGATTCTCACTGAAATTAGCAAAGTCTGTCAGTAAAACCAACCCATACTGTACATTTCGCTTCTGAACTCTTAAATCTGGATGTGTGCTACAAATGTAAAACAATAGATTAGTCGATTTTTACTCCATCAGAAAATGTATTCAGGATAAGAAGGGCTGTATCGTGGAAGTTAACCGAGTCTTCTTTTGTTTCATCAACATAAAATCTTGGCATTCCTATGCTTCTGAAGCTTCAATTCCACTGATTCACCCTAAAATGTTGCTTTAGAACTAGAACTAGAAAAGTTCTGTCATAATTTCATAGCATCTGCAAGACATTACAGACTCTGGTCCTGATTCTTGGCTGACCTACTCTTTCTGTATCAGGGAAGAGTGATGATTACAGCAGGTTACCAAGGCAGAACAGCAGCAGTCCGTTAGTTCTGATGTGAATGACTGCAGGACAGTGGAGATGGGGAAATTCTCTCATGTGGGGAAGTATGGAGTTTTCCAACATCTCACTAATTCCAGGAGAAATGGTTGATTTCATACTTCAGACAGCACATAGAGAACTTTTTGAGTAATGCTTTCCTAACCACAACTGTGTTTGGACACTTTCTGCAGAAAATGCTTCCCAGAGTGAGCTGCGAGATCTACTTTCAGAGTTCAACCTTTTGAAACAGGTGAACCATCCTCATGTCATCAAACTATATGGAGCCTGCAGTCAAGATGGTAACTATTAGAAACTCATTATTAAGATGAAAATGTCAAGCAAGGAAATAAAAAGCAGTTCATTGATGGGTTTGGACCACTGTTTAATAATTGCTGAGCACCTTTTATATTTGCTTCTGGCTGAAAAATGAGGGACATGTAAGAAAAGCAGTGTTTGAAGGGAAGGGGAAATTGCTAATTCAGTTTAACTAAGCATTCTTCATGTGGTTTTCTTCAATATACCTTTTGATTCTGAAACTTTTTTAACTTAAACCAATCTACTACCAATTCTCTTCCAAATAATATATATTTTCATATAATGTTGATGCTCAGTAAGTGTTTTCAAATATGGGTTCTATTTAAAATTCAATGGAGTTTTTATTATTGTTGTTGTTATTATTCATATTAAAATGATTCTTTGAGGCCTGAGCCAGGGAGTGAGATCTCCCGTTTTTAAAACAAAAACAAAAAATCCAAACTATAAAAAGACAACAACAGATACTTTTGTTAAAATATAGCTGGATAGTTAGATTGATACTCAGTTTTCCTCCTCTGCCACAAAACTACTGTCTCTGTCTTGTGAAATAGCTGCTAAAAAGCACAGTCATTGAAAGGTATATTTCAAGGGGGAAAATTTTCAGACACATGTATTATAAACTGCCAGTGAAGCATATTTTCATTGTTGTGCATCAAGGAATGATCTGAATAATTTCTTTCTGTTCATTTTAAATAAAGTTGCATAGCAATTTCCTCTTTCTTTTGCATCTGTAATTATGCAGCCTAAAAACACAGTATGCATGTTGCAACCCTGGCCAAAGGCCTGCCTTATTTGCCCACCCAGTTCTTTTGCAAGTGGCACTTTTAGTTGTAGACAGAGAATATAATTCAGGACTGAGTCATCTCCGAGTCTTAGTAAGGCAACGAACTAGAGGAGCAGGATTTTTTTTTTTTTTCTTTTCAGTACAATGTATTTTTGCATCCCAAAGGAAATGAATTGTTTCTGAGTCACAGGCTTTTAATAAATATCAAGTTAATTCATTAGTGTATGAGGTGGGAGGACTTTGATACAGCAGATAAATGTATCTAGCATTAAAGCACTGAGTGGGTATTATTCGTGTGGGTAATGGGGAGGAGAAACTAATGGATTGAAATGTCAGAATACTTCTAAGTACTCTGTAGAGGCACCTTAAACACAACACTGGAATTAGCAGATGATCTGTGAGCTCAGTATCACACACAACAGAAAATTGTTTTGATTTTAATATTTTTTAAAAAGTTTTTCTGAGTTAGGTTGTTTTCACAGATCTGGTTTGTAAGAAAGTTGCCTCGTTTTTAGTCTCAAATTATCTAGATGAGGGAATATAGGCAAGAGCCCAAATTCTGCTTTGATTTAGGCTGAAACTCACTCACTTTGCATAGAGGATGTAAGCTAAAAGTATTATATGATTCCATGTCTGATTCGGTGCCTTTTACATAAAGTCCAGAGGTATCTGGAGCCACTGACCGTTCAAAACAATGTGTTGATTAGAAGAGATTTTTTTTTAAAAAAAAAAAAATTGCTATCTATTGATTGTTCACTTATCAGTGTGTTTGTTTATTTCAGGTCCGCTGTATTTAATTGTGGAATATGCTAAATATGGCTCCTTGCGCAGTTTTCTCAGGGAAAGTCGAAAAGTAGGACCAAGCTATGTGGCTAGCGATGGCAACAGAAATTCAAGTTATTTGGATAACCCTGATGAAAGAGCCTTAACAATGGGAGATTTGATATCATTTGCATGGCAGATATCACGAGGAATGCAGTACCTTGCAGAAATGAAGGTAGGGCAGTGTAATAGCCATCTGAGCATGTCCTTGTGATAAATGGACATGACAGTTGTTAGTTCATCCACAAGAAGCATAAACACTATTGTTGGTTTCTTCCAAAAGCTTGTTCATCGTGATTTAGCAGCCAGAAATGTATTGGTGGCAGAAGGACGCAAAATGAAGATTTCTGATTTTGGCCTTTCCCGTGATGTATATGAAGAAGATTCATATGTCAAGAGGAGCAAGGTACAGTGCATATTAAAAACAGTAATGGAAATGATTACCTAATCAAGAGAATGAATTTATGCTTGAGCACAGAATAACAAAAATAATAGCTATTTTTTATTAACTTAAAATAATTCTCTATTTTAAAGAAATAAAAAAGAAACAAAATTATGAGCTTAATCAGTGGGGCACTAATCTTTTCACAGAATCTTTTCACAGAATCATCTAGGTTGGGAAAGAAGATAATCTATCCAACCATTAACCTAACATTGACTGTTCCCAACTACACCATATCCCTCAGTGCTATGTCGACTCCACTCTTGAACACCTCCAGGGATGGGGACTCCACCACCTCCCTGGGCAGCCCATTCCAACACCTAGTATAATATACATAAATGTGTAAAAGATGTATCACATTTAATTCACCACTGTCTCCTCCACCCCTTTTTGTTGACTCATCAACAGAAGCAATTTATTTCTAATATGTAAAATTTAATAAAAGTAAAAGAAGGGTCACTATGATGATTAAGGCCTTGGCGACATGCAAGGAGAGGCTAACAGAGCTGTGTTCGTTTAGCCTGGAGAAAAGAGGCCTCAGAGGGATCTTACTGATGTGTATAAATACCTGATAGGAGAAAATAAAGCCAACAGAGCCAGGCTCTTCTCACTGTGGCCCAGTGACAGCACAAGAGGCAATGGGAGCTATTTTAAATATGAGAAATTCCATTTAAATAAATTTTTTTTTTTTTTTTTTTACCATAAATGATTAAATCCAGGCTGCCCACAGAATCTCAGTCCCTGGAAAACCTGTCTGGAAATGGTCTCAAGAAGCATGCTGTGGCTGACCCTGCTGTAAGCAGAGGAGTAAAGTCCCTTCCCACCTCAGCGGTTCTCTGATCCTATGAAAAGTTGCAAGACAATACGTAAAAAGCAGGAGATTTGCTGCTTTTTAAAAGCATTGTGTCAAATAGTCTGTAATAAAATATTTACTTTTCTTAAGGCTAGAGAGTTCACACAGGATGAAATAGCATGTGTTTTGTTAATGTAAAAACAGAAGAATGACACCTTTTTTCATTGCAGAAGCTTTTAACTATTAACCTTTTTACAGGTAGAGGGCAGCCCATTTTTAAATGAGGTGGGTCCTCTCATTTATCCAGTTCCTCATCATGCCCTCCTAAAAATACTTCCAAATGTATGAAAGATACCAAATCTTAATCAAAATGGTACATCATAGGTTGGCATAGATTAGAAGCTAATGCTACTTGACAGAGGCTATTTAAGGTAATTCTATTTCACCTGCCACAGTAAGTTATTGTGAGGTGCCTAGATGCAGTTCTGTGCTCACAGTGCTCATGGCAGGATTCAGCATACTGTAACGTTTCACTTCTACAACTGTGCAAAGGAAATTTGATGGAAAGACAAGTTGTTGAGTCACATCACTACTTCCCTGAAATGCAACATTTGAGCAAAATAACTTCGGGACTAAGAAGTAAAGGCTTGCCATTTATTTATTCTTGTAAAAAATACTGTCAAATACAGCAAGCCAAATCCTGTGTTCTGCTTGTTTGCATCCACCTGTCACTGACATCAGCAGAACTTTTACAGTCAATCCCAGGCCAGACTGTGACGTTTGCTAACACTGCTTTCTACTGGCTCTTTCTAAGATGTTGGTTCAGTTTGCTCTATAACTTAGTATGAAACAGTTGCCAACAGAATTTTTTGCATGTGAAAATTTGAATTTTCTGAAATGATTTCCATAAAAACTGTAAATTTTCAGTTTAGCTTTCCTGTTTTTTTCAGGCTAGTTTGTGTGAATGTTTCCTAAGTCAAAGTAAGTTGTGAAGAAAAAAAACCTTTTGGAAAACATGATCATATGTAAAAGGGCTTTACCATGTTCATTTAGCTATCTTCTGATGTATGTGTTGTACATTAATCTATACCAGTTGCTCTGTATTTTAAGAATGATGCATTTACATAAAGGCATTTTCGTTTTATTTGGTGGGGTGTTAATGTTCTGTATGGATATTTTTCTTTACTTCTGAGACACTTATCACCGTAGCATTATTCAGAGCCTAACAAGCATCTGTTTGCTTGCATGAGGAAAAGAAAATTTGAGGAAGGAAGAAGGATAAGTTTCAAATCCTGCTGAAACAATTGTTGCATATATATATATATATATATATATATATATATACATGAATTTCATGATAACAAGAAGTAAAGCATATGAATGCTAGTGATATTGTGAAGGTTATGAAACATCTTGGAAATTTTGCAAGGCTAGATTTTCATGAATATCTGGGGCAGATTTCTCAGATTTTATCAGTAAATTTCTACCAGTGGAAAGTAGCAGCTTGTAGATTCAATTTAGTAACCAGTAACTGAATATAATTGTCCAGGTACAGTTCTGAAGTGAAAGGTATCTTAACATCTAGGTGCTTCCATTAATGCATCATGCTTGATGTAAATGAGATAGCTCTTCCTCTTTAATCATCATTCCCCAGCATTTTTGCATTTGCACATTTCCCAAAAGAAATGGGAAGACAGAAACTCATGTTTCAAGAATATAACTCTTTGGATGAAGCTCTCTGTTAAGCGGAGAGTTGAGTTTATCCGACTTAAACTGGTGACCATCTGGAAAAAACACCTTATTGCACATAATTATATTACTGAAGTGTGTGGAATGAAACAAATGGGTGACTTTAAAATCTCTTACAATTGTTCTCTTCACTGTTTTTCTTATGAAATGCAAACAATTCAGTCCATTGGAAATTACTTTTCCAATGTACTGGAGTATGGATAGAGTATTTGTTACAGTTTTGAAGATATATACCTTGGTTTTCCACTTGAAAACTTAATTTTCTGACCAGTAATTGCATTGTTGCTTTTTTTTTTTTTTTTTTTTTTTTTTTCCCTCCTAGGGTCGGATACCTGTTAAATGGATGGCCATAGAATCCCTATTTGATCATATCTATACAACACAAAGCGATGTGTAAGTGTAGTTTCTTATGTTCTTTATGGCTTCTGTGCCTGTTTAAGGAGATGAGGGGGGAAAGCACAGCAAGGGACATAGTAGCCATAAGAGACATAAGGAACACAGCCTGGGTGACACCATCCACTGGCAATGATACATAAGAGTTTTGCTGTTGAATTAAACCTCAAGAAGAGATTATCAGAGGTATTTAGGTACATAATTCCTTTATAATCAAGAAGGGTTGGATCTGTTCACGTGACACAGTTGCCTTTGAATATAGACACAACTTAATAGTCTTTGCTAAAGATAATGATTAAGCCTAAACTTCCCAGTTCCTGTTTGTCACTTGTCTGTGGCAAGAAAGGGAGAGGAATTTAATGCCTGGCCTCAGTTCTATTGAAACCAATGACAAAAGTCCAATTAATTTTAATGACAGCCAGCTGAGACCTTAGGAGAATAGTCCGGTTCTGCTTCCAAGATGCAAGTTCATTCGCATGATTAGGGAAACAGATCCTGAAGATGGATACACTCCTATCTGCAACTGATGACTAGGTGGCAAAGCAACCACAGGTAAACCATTTTCATGTCTGATATGCGAGGAGCCAGGCAGAGGAGTGTTTATTATACATTTAACTCAGGATCAGATACTTCTGTTTCTTTTTCTGTGGCACAAAAGATGCTTGTGACTAGTCACCAGGCAGATACTGTAAAACTAAGTATTATTTTTTTAGGAGAAAAACCTCTAAGGGACTGCAAAAGCAGAAGTACTTACATCTGATTTTCTGCTAGGTAGCATTTTGGGTAGCATTTTGATATCTTCCAAGTTTCCCCTGAAAGAAGATCTGGCTAAAGTAACACTTTCATTAAACTCAAATGGAGTAAAACATATCTATCACAATGACATTTCACTTTGGGGGAAAACACTGATAACAGCAGTATGTGCAAATAGGAACCTTTTGATTTGCAGTTTTAAAATAATTTACATTCACTTTTTACTCTTCTCTCTGCAGGTCAGAGCAGTTTTAGTGAAACAAAATAATTTGCTTACCATGGAAATTCCTTACGTAATGAATTTCCACAATATTTTTATTTACTGTTTCACTTAGAGTAAGAAAAGAAAAAAGATTGGGGTAATAATTCTTGGGACAGTGTCACTTTTACTTAGGTCTACTTACAGGTTTTTCAGAGTCTCTTTTTATCCTCCTCAGAGTATCAGTTGTGCTGACCTGCTCCTCTACAGACTTTTCCAAGAGAATTGTTTAAATTCTATTAAAAACTTCTTGGTGCATTTTTAATTTCTTCATTTTCTGCAAAACAGATTTGTCACTATAGTTTGAGGCCAGAACATATTGTGTTGCCATGTAACTGCCTCTTCTTTGATTGTTGATTTATCTTCTGGATCCAATACCATTTCTCCCTGTTTGTTTTCCTGATGGGCTGCTATTAAGCCCAGGAGCCCATCTCTTGTACATGTGATACAACACCACACAGAGATTATTAAACTGCCGTCAAGCAAGGTAGCTCACACTGGTGCTGTGCAGTTTTTCTGCTTCCCATATTGGGATTAATATCTCTGTGTAAAGCCACACTGATTTAACAGCCTTCTTGGAGATGGATCAGGTGTTCTTAACAGAGCGCACTGCACTATGCTTTGTAGGTCCACTTCAATACAGTAGCATAAAATGTCTAAATGTCTGCCACATGCCGTACCTTTGACTCACTGGTGAGGGTCACCTTCACTATTCATATAATTATTCATGATGTAATCTAAGTGTTATATAGCAGCTTCTAATTTAGCCAAGTCCCTACAGAACAGTACTTAGACACACACAGTTGCAAAACAAATCCTCTCCAGAGCTAAATTCCACAAACACCATTCCTACAGCTGCAAACCAATAAAGTACTTTTTTGCAGCATTGATTGTTATTTTAGATAATTACACTCACTGCAAATATTTCATGAATATTCTTTGTTGTTTGTGGTGTTGCAAGTATATTTTAGTGAACATATATTAATATACTCAAGAATATTCCAAGATGGTATTTTTTATGATACTCTATGTCTCTGCTATCTGGACTCTTCCTTCTGAAGCCATTCTGTATAGTTAGTGGTTAGCAGTGTTTAACAGCAGTACCACTTGCCAGTAAATGCTTCCCAGCATTTACAAATTCCTGGTTTTGCTTCAGAGGTCAATGACATCAGTACAAAGCCAGCCCACTGTCTTCCTCTTCACATATTTTTCTTTCTTGGCTTTTTCTGATCACATTTTTATACAGCAGCAAACATAGCACAATGGGAAATTTTTCATTTCCCATCTCTCCTCTCATAGTAATTTGTATCATGACTTGAAAGCCTTGCAGCATTCTATTCTAATATGCCTATTTACTAAAAAACTTTAATTAAGAAATTATTAATCTGATCCCTCCTTTCCACGTTCTGTAAAATTCCTCAGCAGAAGAGGTGTATTTTAAAAATAAAACCTGTCACACTACGAAATTTATTCAAATTAATCATAGAATTATAATATGATGGCAGAGCATAATTAGCTTCAAAAAGGGTATGAGGAGGTATATTAATAAAGTAAATGAAAATGCTATAAATAATCAGCTTTCAAGAATGTGCAGAGTGATTAAAAATGAATTAAATGAATTGAGATTAGGAAGAAAAATGGCAGGATACCACTTAGGACTGTGTGATACTCACTTTGGCTTCTCTGCCCGTTTTTGAAGTTTTATTGCTGGACTTTTGGGGTTACCATTGTTCTTTAAAATGTGAGAAGCAAAGGTGGAATGTAGTCAGACAAGAGTTGAGGTTTGTGGCTAACATTTTGAGATGTAATTTTCAGTGGGAATTAGACACTGCTGTTTGGTTTGGCATTAGGTGTGTAAAACTTCCTAAAAATCTTCTTAAAAGTGGACTTTTAACAGAAATTACCCAATTATGAGGGCACAGAAGCTAACATTTTTCATAAATTGTATGTAATTTTCTTGCAGATGCATCCCATTGAGTATCCCTTTTCTATAAAACTGTGTTGGCTGGTTTCCTTTGTTTTGAACATCCAAATCTTGGCAGCTCTGTCAGTTGAGCAGATTCAGAGTGATTTGTAACTTCTTTGTGTCTCAAAAAACCCTTCCACTAAGGAAAGAAAAACATTTTTGCCTCTCTTCTCCTGGCCTGCCCTCCAAAAATGGACTAATTTAATCTGTCTAAATATTTTCAACCTATTGAGCAAGAGGGTCTTTTTGCTTGAGCTTGTTGATAATGTAGGTTTAAAAAAGTCACCATTTCTTCTGTTAATTTCAGAAAACAGTTTCTTCTGTCTTCTGTTCTACATTAAACTATATTTTAGGCATTTGGTATTTCCAAAATAAATTCTTTCCTCTTATTTCATTAACTGTAAGAAGAAAATTAAGTCCTGAATCACTGAAATGACCGAACAGAACAGCTGAAATCAAAGGTGTTGCTTACAACTGAAATAAATACATTGTGCATATAAACACCACCTCATAGTCAAGACAGCAAACTCATCCCTTGATAACTGGTTGAGCCAGCCTGTGAAAATGTAGACAGTTATTTCTGAATAGGAATATAACAGCCAATTAGGGAGGTTAGACTCCCCCTGTTGCCCAAGGAAAGAGAGGCACCTCCAGGAGCACTGTACAGAAGAGGAACAAGCCTTTGAGCTGGGCCACCATGGGACGGACTTTAATTTTCTGCTCTCTAGAGAAGATTGGCCTTCCCAGGATATAGTTAGCTTTTGTCAGTGGATAAAATAAGGGTATCCCTTATCTCTACTGTCTTTTTAATGAATGGTATTTGGGAACAAGGATGGCTCTATATGCATCTGTACAGCCCCTCTTGCACAGCAACATCTTGCATTTGGTTGGTTTCTCAAAACACTAGAAAGAAATTTGTTGGGTGAAAGCCACGCGAAGCTCTTGAAACCTACCACTCTAAATAAAAACAAATTTTCTGTTTTTCAGATGGTCATTTGGAGTTCTACTATGGGAGATTGTAACTTTGGGAGGTAATCCCTACCCAGGTATTGCTCCTGAAAGACTTTTTAACCTCCTAAAAACAGGCTATAGAATGGAGAGACCAGAAAACTGCAGTGAAGAAATGTAAGTAGCTCTTGATCTGATTAGATTTATAAAACATCTCTTGAAAAATATGTTTTAAAAAATGTTTAAATAAATACCACATAAATACTATCCTGTATATCTCAGAGGTATAATCAAAATATGTACTGCTCAAAAGAATGTAATGAAAATTAGTGAACAGTAAAGTGCGGGAAAAGAATTGCCGACAGAATACTTGCAGATACATCCAAAATATTTGGAGAATATTGAATAACACACTTGCCAAACAATTAAAAGAGTTTGAATATTCAAAACTTTTGAGAATTGGGGGGGGGAGGAGGAGAATTTCATAAAACACAGCAGTAGTTGAAATATTCAAGAAAATGTTTCAGCACTTTACTGCAAATGAGATAGATGTCCCATCCACATAGTCATTGTGTATTAGGTGTCCTGGCATTACACAAGAGAAATTATACTTCGACCCAGAAATCTATACCCTAGAAGATATGACGTTTCTGTGACTTGATAAACCCATGGCAATTTCTTTTCTATTTGGAGATGGTTCATACTTTATTGGCTGATTTATTAAAACACTCTCAATGTGAAGTGACTTCTCTCTGTGGTTCTTCCATGTCATTTGGAGATGAGGCATGATTTTATGTTCATCCTGCAAATCTGGTCATGGACAGGTTTCTTTAAAATGTTACCAGGCTATAATCACTATGACATCTATTTTGACTCATTTTCAATATGAAATGATACTTTGGCCACAGCCAGGCTGAGAAAATATAGTATAAATAATACAATTTGTATTTTTTTAATACCACATACAGAGAAAAAAGCATTAAGGGTTTCTGAATTTAGGGCAGGGTAGAAGCTTGCAAGTGTCACTGGCAAATATCTTCTAGCAAATAATTTTTTGTTTGTTTCATCTCAACAGGGACTTTATTCCTCAAACACATGTTATATCATTGATAATTAGTAGGTTAGGCAAGCTGCCCATGTCTGAGATTCTTTTTTTATTCAAGCCACATTGTGGTTTTCTGACTGGTTCAGGTTTTTTCTGTTTTACTCTGAAATTTTTCTGACAGACTTTGAGAACCCACTCTAAGGACCATTTTTCTTAAATTGCATTCTCTACTTTGCCCAGTCAAGAGAGAGATCATGGATGAGGGCAAAAAATGCAATGCTTTTCAAAAGTTTGCTGTAGTTCTTATAGCCAACTGTTTCCACAATTTGAGCACTTCTGTCACTGGATCACTTAGTCCTGAAAACACTTGAGCTAGAAAAATAACATGAATGGTACAGGTTGGAAAGTTACACATCCAGAACTTGGCCAATGTCTGTCTGACAGTCACTCAACTGTAAAACTTTAATTCTGCTCCCTTTTTTTTTTTTCCACACTGTATGCTATAGAAAGCAGTTAAAGACAGAATAAGAACAGAGGTAATAAAAATAATAGAAATAATGAAAAGAATGTTAGTTTGTGCAAATAGTCTTAGGTTGGGCTTCACTTTGAATAAAAGTTTACAGAAACTTTTCAGAACTTAAACAAATGAAGAACAAAATTCTAATTTCAGATATAACAGAAGAGTTTTTCAGGTTGGAGAGGCACATCAGTGGTGCCTACACATGAGGTGGTCCTTTGAGAAAGTGAAAATAAGGAAAGAAACCTGAGATTACAGGTCCTTCAAGGACAGCCACATGCATCATCATTTAAACTCATACAGACTCATGAAAATAAAAGCCCATTCTTGTGAATATCAGTTGTTGATTCAAGGGAATGTTTAACAGAACACACAAGAAAGATTGATGTACTTGTGGATGGCCTTCACACCACAGTTCAACTTCATATATAAATTATTTGAGCAGAAGCATGACCCACTTCTAACAATTTTGGGGGTTTTTTTCACCTTATGTTGGATCACAGGTACAACCTGATGTTGCGTTGTTGGAAGCAAGAGCCTGATAAGAGACCAACATTTGCTGAGATCAGCAAGGAACTAGAGAAAATGATGGTGAAGAGTAGGGTAAGTGTGGGAAAGCATGAGTTTTTGAAAGTTTTTGTGATCATCTGAGTTTGAATATACAGAAATAATGATTATTTTTTTTTTTTTAAAAAAAGGGAAGTAATTTACTTTTCATGAAATTTTGAAGCATTTATAGATCTAGTTTCTTCCCAAACCCATCCAGCTTTTTTGAAAGTCATCTAGTGGCTTTGGTGACCTCAACCCTAAATGCAGATGAGTTATCCTTAATTTGTCTAGCTTCTTTAAATAAAAAATGTTAAAAAAATTAAAGTTACTGGGAAAAGTTACTCCTGAATAAAAAACCCTAGGAAGCCTGGAACTAGAAGAATGTAGTATGTCCTTGAATCTGATTTAGTTATATGATGATAGAAACAGAGCTAAAAAAAGCTGTATGATTCCACTATTCTGAGTTATTTTAAAACTACTGTAATCCTGCATATTTTCTTTGAATGAATGGATGTCGAGATCTAAAAATAAGATACGTTGCATATATTTATAAAATGTCTACATACTTGCACATAAACACATTTTTTTTTAAATCTAGTTATGGGAAAAGGTTACTTACAAATGAAAAACAGAGGAAATACAGTGACCATTATCAGATTTAAGAATGTGATGGTGTTGACACTTGGTCAAAAAGGACTAATAAACAAATGGGAACAATTTTGTTCAGGATGTGAATGTAAAAATAAGCTCTAAATAAAAAATGGCAAAGTGAAAGGTCTAGGTTGTACATTAAAATCACTATGATTTGTCAGCCACTAACTTCTAGCTGCTGAGAATCAGTACGCAAACAATCTGCATGTTCACTGACAGGTTTATAATACAGAGGCTGGCAAGTTTTCTGAAATTTTCATCATAATTAAAACCAAAGACAATCCAAAATAGAGCTCCACAAATTAGTCATTTTTCTTCTTGCCGTTCTTCATGAAAAATTCTTAAGATTTTTTAATTTATAAAATTGGATAACTTTTATCTTTTTAAGTTTAATTTCAGTAAATTTCCAAAGGAAAAGCCATTTTGAAAGGAAAAAATATATTTTAGATTAGTTGAAAATGCTTCACATTTGTTTTTTACATCAAAGCAATTCAGCAGCATAAATGAAAACCTATGAATTCTTATGGTTAAACTAAATAGTTTTAGACCAGCAGCAGAAAAGGCTTTATTTGTCAATATTTACGCAGCTAATTTTATACATGCTTATGTAATAGCTTCTGTAAAATTATGACAAGATCTGAGTACCTTCTCCTTTAAGTGTGCATATGTATCTATAAATATATATTTCAGTCATACATAAGTATCAGGCATAGCCGAGCTGAAGGTCAAACAAATCAGCACAGCACTTTAACTTCTTGGTTATTTTAGTGATGTGTAGAATTAAGTAGGGGAATTATTAATATGTCTCTAGTATGTCTAGTGTTCTGGCAAATCAGATACTTCCAAAGATGCTATGGTTGCAGAAAAGGAAAGCCTACATTGGTGCCAGAGGTACTATTAGGAGGTAAATGCAGTAGGGTTATGTAGTTACTTGTAAAGGAACCAGATGCACATTTAGCCTTTATTACCCAGCCAGCAACACTGCACATACGTTAACCCAGCTTTTCCTGTGTTCACTTCTTAGGACTACTTAGATCTTGCAGCTTCTACACCTTCTGATTCCTTACTTTATGATGATGGGCTCTCAGAAGAGGAGACACCACTCGTGGACTGTAATAATGCTCCCCTCCCTCGAACCCTCCCTTCCACATGGATTGAAAACAAACTCTATGGTAGAATTTCACATGCATTTACTAGATTCTAGCAACACAAAAAAAAAAAAGAAAAAAAAAATTTTTTTCTTCTGCATTGTTCTCAGACTCTGTAACCCCATTACAGTGTTTCTTGTCTGAATGAAGCCAATCAAAATTTGCTTGGAAGCTTCTTTTCGGTTTTTTTATTTGTTTGTTTGTTTTTTCTTTTGGTAAATGTCAAAGTTTGCATCAGGATCATCCTTTAGTCATTTTGCAGCTGTGTTTAAAAGAAACATTTTTAAAAGGATGTGAAAATAAGTAAAGTGACTAGATATGATATAGTAAAAGAAAAAAAAATATCAGGGAAGCATTCTCAGGGGAAATATAAAATGCTAATGAGTATCTAATTCAACTATCCTGTTGGGGGAGGCTAGCAACATTTAAAGTATGTTAGATTCTGCACTTCTAATTTAAGCAATAGGCTGCTTTTTTAAAAAAATAGTGGGTTTTGCCATAGCTCAATGATAGCACCCAGCTGCAACATTTTTCATTTACCAAGGTGGATCTTTAAATTTCAGCTGCATGCATTCTAGATCCATAAGCTGAAATGTCTATTTAATGTATCATAGAATGAAACCAGAGTATCATATACAGAAGGTAGAAATACTGTATATAAGTATTATATACAAACTACATCAATAGATAAAGTCCTTTGAAAACCGAATTAACAATTAACAATGGGCATTTTGAAAATACACTCAGCTGTTTTCACATCCTTTGATTTATTATGAAAATGTCAGTACTAAACCTTGATTGAATGATGTAGCAAATGTTTTTAAAAAGAACATATGCTTTCATATTGTGATGGTGAGATGGACAGTAAAAACGGTTCTTGCCAAAACTCCTACATTTTGTCTCCTGATTAAATATTCTACACGTTTTTAGATATTTACTAACATCACAGATATTTTTTTCATTCTTCAAGCAGTATGACTTTTGAAAAGTTGAATCTTTTAGCATAAAAGTTCCCATTAATACATGGCTTTGGGTCTATTTTTGATCTGTACCCTAGCTATAATTTTCCTTAATAGGTTCCTCCAACTCACATTCAATTTGGGGCACTTAGTGGCCAGATTGTTAAAAAAATGCAGTAACGGAAAAAGTTGCCACCAAGGTTGATGGCAGATGCTGAATGCTTAATAAGCAACACAATCAGATTTCAGTTTTTGAAAATCTTGACCCTGGTGTGGTTCTCTGCTTGTACAGCTGGATCAACATGGTGCTAAGCACTCTGCTTCCATTTTGGTGTGATCACTTGTGCCTAAACTGGACTCAATGCAAATAATTACATGCCTGAAATACACGTTTAAGTGCTGAAACAAGACAAGAGTGCTCAGGACTTTGTTGGACTTCACTCAGTTGTGCTTCAGGAGTTTCCTAAAATTAAGCAGGGGAACCTCTAAGGGTGTGAGTGTCCCCAAAAACCTCACTGAAGCCAAAGGGAAGGCACCTGTTTAAGTAAATGGAAATACTCTCAGTCATTGGAATGAACCTTGGATCCTGTCCCGAATAGGTTTATTAATTCTTGGAACACTTCCTGTACAGCAAGAACTTCTTCTTGCAAAGAAATATACTGAAAAAAAAAAAAAAAAAAAAAAAAAAAAAGGAAAGTTGGAGGGTCATCAGCAGAAAAATTATTAGCTTTTTATTATGCACATGTGCATGCGTGCACACAATTTTTTATCAAGTAAGCACTTTATTTTTTCAGGGTTTTTGCCTACTTCTGAATTTGTGCTTCAGGGAGTTCAAAACATCTTTTATATGAATTGATTTGGGACAAAATCCAGTGGACTGGCTTAAAATATTGAAGGGAGTTTTGCCAAGGGCCTTACTGTCTGCACATGAAGTTATGGTTCTTCAGTGCAGAAAAAATTATCTGTTTTCATTTTTAGGCATGTCATACCCGAACTGGCCTGAGGAGAGCCCCGTTCCACTCACAAGATTCGATGGCACTAACTCTGTGTTTTCAAGATATGCAAATGATAGTGTATATGCTAACTGGATGGTTTCACACTCAGCGACAAAATTTATGGACAAGTTTGATAGCTAAAATTTTCTTTGTGAAAGGTAATGGACTCCTGAGGGGAACAAAGATGCAAAGAATGGAAAGTCCATTGGCTCGTTCTTTGTACAATCAATAACTAACTTTAAATTGGCAAACCCTTTTATTGGTAGTTTCTAAAGTGTGTTATTCATGCTGAAGACTAGAATTGGTGATTTCCCCTTTCTAAAAACATATCAAGCTGGATAAGAGTTGTAGTTCCAGTACTTCTTTCTATATTGCCATTTTGCATATGGTTCCATTTGGCAACTTTTTACTGCAAATGGCCTCGCACTTCATTCTCGCTGTTTTTTAGACTAGCCATCCTTTGCTACAGCTTTTTTGGATGGGAAAATGTACTTGAACTGCTACTTTTATAGTGGTTGTTAGCATACAACCACTTGATCTAAGCAGGAAGCACAAACAATATATGGAAGGGAGGGGGGAAATAGGCTCCCAAATTACTGAGCTTGCTATCAAATGAGAAGCGTTACAATGATGTTGGCACTAACAAAGCCTGTATCTTGGTTTGGAAGCAAACATTAAGTAACTCAATAGAGGACCTGAGATTCAACATTTGAAATCTTATAAAATGTATTGTCTTAATGAGAAGAGATTTTGTTTTATTAGTCAGAACTTCTCTTACCTTTAGCACAATTGAGATAAATTTGATACAAGATAAGCTGTATAGATTGATGGCAATCAAGAGTGTTCATCTGACATAATTTACTTTCCATCATCTACATCTTACTAATGTTAAAATGTACAATCTTGTACAATCATAATTCCTCTTCTGAGTTCAAAATAGACTGTACAGGGTTTTTAGATGGAATACAAGTAAAGAGATTTTGTTTGCAGTCATGTTCAGTGGGTTGGAGTCCTCCTCTTAGTTCCAGATTGAATACACTGCCATGCACAGGACACTACCATGATACAACTCCAAATAAACCCATTACCTTGAAAGTCATGATAAACTACACTTGCACAGCAAAATTGGTCTAAAACTCTACTGTTAATGCAGCTATACAAGGAAAATGTCATCGGAATTTGTTAAGGTGAAATATAAAACTGTTGTGCTTACAACACTGACTTGATATTTGGGAGAACGATCAGACTGTGGGTCGTGTTCTGTGTGGAAGACTAAATGATCGGCACTACTTTTGTCTTTATTTGTAATCTAATGTGGTTAAAGATAATTTTTTGTTTGCTACAAATGTTGGGAGGTAAATCCCAAGTGAGTTGTTAGCCTTGTGATGGTTATTCTAAATAATCCAATTCCACCAAAGTTTGCTCCTGTCACAATCCAATTTAGCTGTTTTCAAATGTTTTGTGTATCAACTTTATGTTTCCATTAAAGTCCATGATTTCAGAAACAAGAGAGTCAGACTGCCACAACCAAACACAGATTTTCTTTTTACAAAAAGTGGGATATAAAATGCTATGTTGGAATTTAAGCACCTTCACTGTTGGATATCATACTTGATCCTGTCCTGGTTTCAGGCAAGCACTAACCAGAGTGAATTTTTTGTACAAAAATTAGCTGTGTTGTGTAATGCTTAAGTAGAGTAAAGAGATATAGCTACGTATACAGAAGGGGTTCAGCTGTGATATAATGTGATCTTCACCGGCATAACACAGCTGTCAGAATGCACACTTTTAAAATTACACTGAAAATTAAGCCCATTATATGGGCTGTTTTTTCTATTGAGAGATCTATGAAAAAAGGAGAGAAAAATGGCACTGTGGTAACTTGTTCTTTTCCCCAGTCCTTTTCCTGTATTTTCTGTCTGTAAATGGCAATTCTTTATTTGCCATAAGCAATCAAGGCATCAAGATTTTTGTTGTTTTTTTTTTTTTAATTCTTCCTTAAATTAAGAATTTCTTTTTATCATCTATCTTCAGCAACACTATTCAACTAGGAGGAGTGAAGCGCCTAGTTTCTAACCTGAAAAGCCCTGCAAACAACTTTGCTGTACAGTAGGTGTGTGGGATAGTAAGCAATGCCGAAATAACCAGTGGCTGCCTTAAGTATTGTGTATTTTAGATTTCTAGCATGAGTAAATGCTGTTTCAACCACTAATTCCTGTGAAAAATTTCTCTAATGTTGTTACCTATGTTAGCAGACATAGATTCTGCATATAAAATACATACACAGCTCATAATTATAGTTGCCGTACACAATTACCTGCATTAAGTGAAGCTTGATGAAAAGTTCTTAACAAGTGTTTCCTAATCCAACCAATTTTGCCTCCCTTCCTACTCATGAATATTGGTAAGAAATAGATTATTGCTTTCAAGTATTCACTCATAATATAAAAACTTCTTATGTCTTCTATGTATGCTATTTTTGTAAATATTTCCCTTGAAGTGTTTCTTATTTGTTCCATGTTGCCATTAGTCAGAATGGTGACAATCTTGTTTCAGTTCCCCCTTAGAGAGTCAATGTACTTCCCATGTGGGAAAGAAGTGATGTTGCAGATTATTATTTCCAACGGTGCCAGAAACAGTTATGCACTTGACTGCCCTTAGCAAAGTGAATTCAAAAGGAACAAATGACTCACCTAAATGTACAGGTTGGAGGGAATAACTTTCTAAAAATTTCTGCCAGCCTTTTCTAAATATCTGCAGAGATGACATGGTTTACGTGGTCTGTGCTTTGAGTTGTGACAGATGGGGGAGAGAGTGAATCTGATGTGTCTTTCCAGTCATTACAGCAGCACAAGGAAGATATTGTAATACTCATTTCCACAAAATTTTCAAGAGGTGTGATACTCATAAAATCTACTGTGAGGTTGCAGATTTTAATCTGCAGGCATTATACTGTTTAATAGAATAGATTTTTTTTTTTTTTTAAATCTTGTCCCTTAAATATGAGGTACATAATATTTAAATCATGTGGTTTTACCTATAATTTGTCATGCAAAATGTGCACGAATCTCTATGGTACCCTCAACCGGACCTAAGTAATTCTCAAAAATGTAAAATAAAAGCAGGTTTCTATTCCTTGATGTTTTATAATTAATTTTATATTAATAATACAAGCCTCAAAATATATCTAAAAATGATATTTCTACTTATAATTTTGAAATGCTATGTTTCAAAACTCAGCCCCACTGAAGCTACAATGGTAAATTTATAACAAAATGCTAGAGATAACATTCAACAGCATCAGCTCCTAGGTAGCACCCAGCAAACGCTTCCCATAAACAAGGTGCGGATTGTCCATAGTGAGATGAATGGTTTGACTTTTTCAGCATTAACTATCTTTCTGAAGAACCCTATGATTCACTGAAGATGTATAGAAGTATGTAAAATCTTAATAAGGAAACCTAAGCTGTTCAGGTCCACTGCATCTGACAATATAATTTAAGTAGCCCCTCTGAAGTTAGTAGGATCATTCATGAATAAATTATTCATAAACATTTACTGGTCTAAAATCAAATAAACTAATAGTCTTATAGCAAAAGTACAAAAGGTATTATCAGAATACAGACAAAATAGCAATAGCGTGGATCTATCCATCCCTAGCACAATATTGTAACTTGTCTATCTAGTAGCAGTATTTAGAAGCAGACACTAGAAGACAGGTAAGCACAAATATATCTCTAATGTATATCTAGAGGAGACAGTGAATTAAATACTTTTCAGTATTTATCAAGTTTTTCAGTAAAGATACTTGTTCATGTAAGGTGCGTTTCATATTCAATTCTCATTTCCAATTCTTCGGGACAGAAACCTGTGCCTTCCAGTTATGATAGAGATACATACTCTTAATGTATTTTGAGAAGATGAATAGTTCCTCTCTTTTCATGGTGTGTTTTTTGGTTTTACCTGGTTTTATAAAGGGTTGCATGGTACCCCAACACAACAGATTTCTTGCTAAAAACATGGTTTTTTGAGCTGTTATGAAAGTTCATTTTGCTGATAACATTCTGAAATTAAGTAAAAAGGTTTTGCCTACCTAAGTACAGACAAGTACATCACCCCTTACATTTACACCCCTTACATTTGGCTAATGAGGTACATTCATAAAAATCCAAGTTCATCTCATCTGGAAGTTGTTTCATAGGGATTACAGGCCAGTCCAAAATGGTATGAACAATTTAAGAGCATTTCAGTTGTACTTGACATGTCAAGAAATAACATTCCAAGTTTCTCCATTAAAAAAGAATAACAGAGAAGTGCGTTCATTTCCAAGACAAAAAAATTAGTAACTTCTGAAATCAACAACAATGTAATGACTGTTGCCATCAGGTTTCAGGCCAAGAGTTTGATTCTATCCTTTCTGATATAAGCAGATGTATACTGACATATAAGATAACTGGGTTTAGAGCATTTTTACATTGCCAAGAGTAAAGCTTTCCAGTTAATCAGATAAGCACAGAAATTTGTAGAAGTTCAAACCATTACACTAATAGCAAGTAATGTGCATATTTTGAATAAATAGTGATGTTTACAGTAGGTGTTTCTGCTTGTTTTGTTTTTATGGACTCTCAAATATTAAAATGGATTGGGTTTTCACAAAGCACTCAGCTTTGACCTAGGTCACCTGTCGTTATGTCCCTGATAAACCTCCACTGATTTTAATGGAGAGAAAGTACAGCCAATGGGTAAACCTTGACTTAAAATACAAAATATAAACATACGCTTATTTTATCACAATATTGATGTGGTGGAAAGAACTACTAGTTGCGTGGTCAGAATTACCGAACATGTCTGCGCATAGATACAGTGTGTTAAAATGTGAATAGGGTATGAAGGTAAAAATAGTCACTGTTCCCACCTAGTCTATAGTTAAAGGGTAGGTCCAATCAGCCTGGTACATGCAGAAGTCCCCATAGAAAGCTAGTTTAGCTCAGCATTTTGTGTAAATTTCTCTCTTGTGCTTACAAATAAAACATAAAGTTAGAGACTTGGGGAAGAAAAAATAGGCTAATACATCAGCTTTTCTCACCCTCTCTGCAAGACATTGTTAACAGAACCAGAGATTATGATTATTTCTTAGTTTCAGAAATATGCTGGCACGTCCCTAAAAAGAAATAGAGGTCCCCTGCTGGAAAGCATGTCCATTGTAGCAGGACTCAGTTTTTATGTATTTCTTAATCTCCTCTAAGCAGAGGACAGAAGAAGTAAACCAACACATCTAGGGCCTTAGTTTTAGAATAATGTTTGCAAAATAATTTATTATTGAATACTGCAGGGACATATGATTTTAATCTTTCACAAAATGGGAGCCGAAAGTAGTGGTGGAATTACTACACACCATGCTATCAGTACATCTGTTGGACAAGGAGTCAAAAGATGACTGCAAAGAGCAGATGTGTGGTCTCCTTCTCTGCTATCACCCCACTATTCTCTTATCCCCATTTGATCTGATCTGGCTAGGAACACAGATTTGCCCATAGAAGACTTTTCTATATGCTGAAGTCTGCAGGGACAGGAGGACAAGAGATGGGGACCCCTTCTATTCATATTCTGCAGGATGGGGTTCCCTACCTTCTCATGCTTGAATCTTGTGGACAAACTACTGAGTGGACAGAATGGGCAGAAGACAAATGTCCTACCTCCCAGGCACAGGCCACGCAGAGAGTATCATATGAGGACTCGGAGTGAGGCTTGCTGGGCAGCGCAGGTCATCTCACACTCACGGTCATAAACCCTGGAATGTAACAAAAGCAAACTGAAGTTAAAGAACTTAAAGAAGTTAAAGTTCACCTTAAAAGTACAGTTCTGATCTGAACTGAGAACTTAACATACATGGTACCCTCTCACATTAAAAGAGGTTTGGTACCTAAAAACCTAGCGTGGTTTGTGATTGTATATGTGCCCAGAACGCTGAGGTAGTTATGAAAAGTTATCCTTACATAGAATCATAAAATCATAATATCATTTAGGTTGGACAAGACCTTAAAGATCATCACATGGGGTTGTAGTTAACACATCTCTTCTCACAGAAAGTTGTAGCTGTTAAAACCCCGCGGTACTTCCAACACTGGGTTCTCATTGTTAATCATCTGTTTATATGATTCTCTTTAAATGCGTAGCAATGATCACTAGACAAAAATGTTTAGATTTTTAATTTCAACAAATTAAAGCCAGAAACAAGAGGAGGGTTTAGAAATGCCAAAATAAACCTTGAGCATCTTCAGGGGCTTCAGAGGTGTGAAACCGATCCAGTCTGCGTTCAGATGCAAACAAAGCACGTTTGGTTGGAGCACATATGCATTTCCCTGAGTTTTTGCTTTTAGACATCTCATTTAGAACAGCTCAAGAAACTTTGGACTGCCAAACTTGAATTTTTTATCCCATGATATAGCCACAGATTTGAATTCCTGTAGAAACTCAACCTAGATCTGGATATCAATCAAATATTGCAGTTTCCAGTCTGATTTTTTTTCTGCATTCTGCAGGTCACATAACTTGTGAAACCCCTTATATAATTTTTCAGCTGTTCAGGGCTTTCCCTCATGACATGATAGTAGTTGAAAGAGTTTGATATGAGCACTGATTTTCATTTGCAATGTGCTATTTTCATAGCTCCCTGCCAATGCAATTTCCTGTGTGAATTTACTATGCTTAAGGATGGAAGTATTTCAAATATTTAATAAAAATAAATCAAATGAACCTGTATTATAAGCATTTGGTTTGCTAAGAATCTTGCTTGCCTATATTTAGGTAAATTTGAAGATTATTTTTGGGGAAAAAACCAACAATTCCACTTCCTTTTTCATATTTTGTGAAGAAGCTATAGCCCAATACAAATCAATAAAATAGTAGGATACACTGATCCTACTCATTTACCAAATTGCCACCAATAACAAGAATAGTATTAATTTATGCAAGAGTATTTCACAAAAAAAGGAAGAGATCTGGAATTAACTTCATTAAACCTTACATTTGTTGAGAAGGAAAACATCAAAAGGGTGGAATCCCAAGTGGTGGCTGATATGACAGACAAGGAGGTTGCTCAAGAGGGCCACTCTTGTTCCCCGAGAAAGCTGGTAAAGGGTTCATCTTCTTAAGATGACTGCAAAGTTTGGAAGAGTGTTGTAACAATGGAGATGTGGGAAAAGCGTATGGGAAATATCCAGGAGATAAATACCAGATTTATAGTATATATTTTAAAAATATGTATACCGCTTCAAGAATCATCCAGAAAGAAGCAAGCAGAGTTCACTATTTTCCAAGATAGTTTCTGTCTGGTCAGGACTGTCAGTGATTGATTTGACCGTAGAAGACAAGAATGATTCTTTCTGCTACAGGGTATAAATAATTGAGAGAGATTTTAGCCTTGAGTCAGGAAGTCATTCAAACACTTACTTAACTGGTTTTCCTGTGCAGAGAGGCTTTCTGAACAGTGGCCTGGTCCAGACACAGCAAATAGAAAGGCATTAAGTTTACGCTGATGATAAGGTTTTTTTTATTTTAAAACATGATAGTTGGAAGTCTCACCCTGTATTGCTCTTCCAGGACCATTTGTTGAAATGAGCTGTGACAAATTGTTAAATACTGATCAGAAACAGATGATGTGGGTTTTGTAAAAACACTACTGAGAATATTACAATTTATACTTAAAGGCATTTATCGCCATTTTTACATGCACAAAGATAAAAGTAAGCAATCAAATTAGATTGCAACAAGTTGTCATCAGAGACAACTTTTTAACCAAACAGAAATAATGTTTATTGAATCATGTTAACTTGCTTAACTGAGTCTCTGTTATGCTTTACTAATGTTATGAAATGTGAAATATTTTGAAATGCTAGGCCTTGAACTAGGGATCACCTATAACAGTTACCATTTCAAATGATAATCATATATTTATTAGGCAACACATAACAACA